AGAGAGGAGAACTCAAGCCAAGTTTCATCTCCCAGAGTTGACTAGATGGAGTTGGTCCTTTGCACAGCGCAGAGTTCTCTAGCAATGGGATCTGAATGGAAAAGAACTTGAAATCTTTAGATCTTCACAAATCTTCAGTTCAGTACAATCTTTGTTTTCATGTGAGAAAACTACTTAAGACTGGGAATTAGTCACCTGATTAGTCATACCCAGGGAATGAGCAGCAGAAGTGAAAATAGTTCACTTTCCTTCCAGCAAAAATGGAAAACATCTTATTTTAAGAGACAGGTATGCTTGTAACGCCAGTGCTGGGAGGCTGAGGGGGTACACAAAGGTGAGTCTGAGGCCTCCCTGAGCCACACAGTGAACCCATTGATCCTGTATCAAAAGAAGGAGGTGGAGGAGAAGAAGGAATGGGAACAGGCTGAGAGGTAGAAATTTATTACCTCAGAATGGGAGAAAAGTAAGACCTAGATTAACATGACTTCTTTCTAACCATATCTCACACAACTCAATATAAAGCTTCAAAACACCAGACTCTTGCCAGATATTATAACAAAATATGAATGGTCAAGAATACTAATACTTGAAAATAAAAATACTCTTCATCTACCCAGTGAGACAAAGTCACAAAATCTGGATTTCCATAAAAAGTGTCAGGCTTGTAAGAAGGCTGGAAAATTTGATCAACATTCTGAAGAGAAACCGGGAGTGGTGGTGCACACCTTTAATATCAGCACTCGGGAGGCAGAGGCAGGTGGATCTCTGTGAGTTCGAGGCCAGCCTGGTCTCCAAAGCCTGTTCCAAGACAGTCAGGGCTACACAGAGAAACCGTGCCTTCAAAAATGAGAGAGAGAGAGAGAGAGAGAGAGAGAGAGAGAGAGAGAGAGAGAGAGAGAGAGAAGAAAAACCAACCGAAGCAGATCTGGTTTGACACAGACATCAGAGAAGTTATTGTAACCACATCCCATATGATAGTGAAAACGGAGGGGAAAGCAAGGATATTAAGTAGACAGACTCGAGATATGAAAGAAAAAAAAACCCCACAGATGATGCTTCTAGAGCTGAAAAGTGCAGTAGCTGAGATTAGAAACGCAACGTACAGAATTAGCAGTGGGTTAAGTGCTGCGCAGTAAAAATACCAGTGAGTTTAAAAGCATGGCCGTAGAAGTGTGGAGAATAAAACACACAGAGAAAAAGAGACAAACGAATGTGGCCTCTGTGATCTGCTTCAGCAGGGTCACAAGCATGGCCTTATTCTGGAATTACGAAGTTGGAATCACTCAAGAAGGGGAAAAAAAATCTATACCAAGACATGACTGAAAGGTTGCCAGTCCAAGAAGGTCAATGAGTATTATGGGTTAGAGCTTGTATGTCCCTAAAGGCATGAGTACTAAAGGTTTGCTCACCAGCCTGTGGTGCTATTTGGAAAGGCTGAAGCCATTAGGGAATGGAAACTAGGTCACTGGGACATGTCATTGAAGAGTTTATTGAGACAGAGGCACTCTGTCTTTCATTGTTCCCAAGCTGGTTGAGGTGAGCAGACCACCATACTTTCCTGCCATGAGGTACCTGTGCCACTGTAGGCCCAAAGCACAGAGCCGAGAAAATATTCGCTAAGACTTGTGAAACCAGGAGTCGAAACTAAGCATTCCTCCTTCCAAACCTTTTACCTTAAGTGTTTGGATAGTTGCAGGAAACTGACTTGTAGTGCAAATCCTAATTGGTCTTAATAATTAAAAACCTGGAGCTAGATATCAGGGTAAATGCTGTAAGATCAGAGAGACAAAGGAGCAAGCCACACCCACACTCTTACCTAGCCAACTCCTCAGCTGAAAAAGCTGAGCTCCAGTCTCCACCCTGCCTTATCACTTCCTCTCTCCTCCCAGCCATAACACTTCCTGTTTCTTCCTTTCAAGTGCTGGGCTTAGAGGTGTGTGTCTCTCAAATCCTGAGATCCAAGGCATGAGATTCCAAGTGCTGGGATTAAAGATGTATGCCACCATTGCCTGGCCGCTAGTGGCTAGCTCCACACTCTGATCTCCAGGCAAGCTTTATTTGTTAGAGCACAAACAAAATATCACCACACTGACTCACACAGGGTCCTCAAATGCACAGAACATGAAAATACCTATTCCAAAGACTTAACATCACTAGTAAAAAGAAAGTCTTAAAAATCTGTTAAAAAGAAAAAACAAAAATATACTTTGGAAATTGAATAAAGTATAGAAACTTCTTTGAAATATTGAGGAAATGATGTGTTTTCCAACATTTCCATGAACACTTCTCCTACAATCAAATTTTAAAATGAAGGGGTCACTATCAAGTACTCTTGGTGCAGTCAGAAAGGCCTGGAACTTGCCTGACGAACCTTCAAGTGGTTGATTATAGTCACCCTCCTCTCCTCGTTCCTCTCTTCACTTCTACATGGTCGGGAGAAAAGGTTATCTTGTGCATGCCTATTAATTGGCAATTCCAAGGTGCAATTTGTAGACATAGGTGTCATATCTTAGATGTCAGAGAAGAGCTTAAACTCATCGTTGGAAAGAAATAAAATTCCTCCTCAGACATCATCTCCCTAAAGTTCAATTCTATAATATAAATTACTTTTCTTCACTTCCCTATAGCTGACCCCAAAGAATCCATGTGGTTAGAAAACCACTTATGACTCACAGGGGAGGGGGATATTTGGATTGCAGATAGAAGACAACAAAGATTTAATAAGAGGATCTGCTTTGACAGATCTAGAGTTATGGATAAGATACTCCTTGGTGTAGTAAGATGGCTCAGTGCATAAAGGCCTTGTTGCCAAGCCTGACACCTCAAGTGTGATCCAGAGCCTGTTTTACCTCCCAGAGAGCTGAGGAGGGTGAGGGACTTCGATTTCAGGCCTTAGTTCCCAAACTACAAGAGAACAAATACAAACAAGCTGGTTTAAATCACCTAGGTTGTGACAATTTGTTATGTCACCCTAGGAAGCTAACACACTCTCCGACAGAACCACAGAGTAGGTTGTTAGTGGCCATTCCCAACTCCCACTCAGCTCTCGGCCAGAACTGCCCTGAACTTGGACTGCCTTTGAGACCTTGCATGGCCCTTCTCCCTGAAAATCTTGGTGGTCTCTTAAAATGCAAACTCCTGTGATGAAGGAGAGAACCGAATTCCTCTGGCCTCTACACATGTGCTGTGGCCCTGTGTCCCTTACAATAAATAAACAAATAATGCAGTACAGAATAAAAAAGAAAAAACACCAACCTTTCTCTTTAAGCATCTGTTTTGTGTGGATACTTTAGGTATTGAGGACACAGTCTCGTGAGTTCAGACAGTTGGAAGTATGTAGTACTTTAAAAGCACATTATTGAGGACTAGTTTTTAAAATCAAATTTGTCCCCAAATGTAGTTTTTTTTTTTTTTTTTTTTTTAAATAAAACCAATTGTAAGTGTAAGGACTACAGTTGAACAATCATAAAACTTTGGTCATTGTCATATAATAACTTATTTAGTTTACCCTCAGACCCCATCGTAGATCCCTCACAGGAACTAGCTTTAGAATAACTGGGCTTAGATAACACATACTGTGTTACATTATAGACTAGTATTAGGACTTAGAAATGCACCGAATAGCAGGCACATTTTAAAGCTGTGCTAAAGACAGATGTAATGCTTGATCTCTTTTATGGATGCATCGTGACTACGTAAATGTTCTCAGAGGGGAAAAAATGCTCTTATCCCAACATTTAGAGGACTCACATCACATTACCAGGATGCAATTTAAACACGCCATTAATTCTGATGGGAGAAAGACATGAGTTTTAAAATCAGCTTAGATCTTTTAAAATAAGATTTATTTATTTTTATGTTTGTGTTTGGTCTGCAAGTATGTTCATACATCACGTGCATGCAATGCCTGTGGAGGCCAGAAGAGGGCGACAAAACTTCCGGAACTGGAGTTGCAGTCCGTTGCCATACACAACATAGGTGCTGGGAATGCAATGCTGGTCCCGCTAAAGTAGCAGGAACTCTACCATGGAGCCATCTCCCCAGCTCTCTCTTAAATTTTAAAATCAAATTTATATATGTGTATTGGTGAATGCATGTGTGTGCGTGAGGCACATGTGTAAGCCAGAGCACAACATATGGGAGTCGGTTTTCTCCTTCAACCATTCGGGCCCTGGAAATCAACAAGTCTCCGGGTTCGGCAGTCAGCACCTTTACCCTCTGGGCTATCTCACAGTTTGGCTTTCCCAGTTCAATCTTTTGCAAATGACCTAACTTTGCAGAGTTCCAGTTTATTACCTGGAAGTAGAGAATTATTAGCACACCGTGGGGTTACAGATATTGAATAACAAACAGTCTAACCATCATACACTTTGTAGACACTTTAAATGAGGATTTTTGCCTGATTGTACTTTAATGTGTCACAGTCTTTTCATGAGAAGGCGATTTGGAAATCGTCAGTGGGGAAGGTGTCAGAGACCTGGGATTCCAGGAAGCCAGATGCAGGGTAACTGAGCAGCCCAGTGCTGTGAAGACTTGACATTCCGGTTACTATCATGACATCAGAGGCCACCTCCTCCAGAAGCAAAGAGGAGTCCTCATAGTTTTGTTAGCAGCATCTTCAATTTCCTACATTTTTTTTTTTTTTTAAAAAAAGGGCATTAACAACAGCTTAATGGTAAGAACTTAATTTTCCTTAGTGAGAGTCTAAAAGTGAAGCTTGATATGCATTGATTTCTGCTGTTCACGGCACACACACACACACACACACACACACACACACACACACACAGCCAGGCACGCATGCACGCAAAGTGTTCTGCATGGCGTGAGACTCCAATGTGCTAAAAGAATCCTTGTAAATAAATTCGAACACCCAGATTCCAGGTGCAGACAGACCTGCCTTCTCCAAACATCCCTTGTTAGAGAGCAACGTCTAGACGCCGGGAGCCCAAGCCCTGGGAACTGGGAACGCACCCCGACCTGAGGGAAGCGTAAGAGCACCCGACAGGCAGCAGAGGAGGTGCGAACTTCCCGCCGTTGTCTCCAGCAAATTCTTAACCAAACCCAGGGGAACTGACTCAGGTTCTCTGTGAACGTGCAGACGAGAGGAGAGCTTTGTCCTTAGGACGCGGGCCGCCGGGAAGGAAGAGCCACTGTTGCATTTGCCCCCTGGGGCTCGGCGGTGGCGGGCTCTGCTTGCCCGGCAGGAGCCGAGCTCAGCTCCCCCCCTGGGGGCGGGACCGAGCCGCTCCCTCCGCCCCACAAATTGCTGCCACTGCTTCAGCCGGGCGCTCAGACGCCGCCGCCGCCGCCGCCGCATCCCACGGCAGAGGCGGCCGCGAGCTCGAGCCGCGTCGCAGCTCCGTGCCGCAGAGAGGCCGGCAGGCGGCACCGCGAGGGACCTGGCCCGGCGCCGCTCGCATCCCTGGCGCGCAGCTGGTACGTAACCGGGCGGACTGCGAGCGGGTGATCCTAGAGCGAGGAGGCAGGGAGAGGACTCGGGGAGTTGGGAGAGACTGAGCGTGCAAACGTGTAAGCTCAACTTTGCTATTTTCCGTCCGGTGGGCACACGCCAAGGAGCGCGGGGGTGCGGGGGGGGGGCGCATTTAGAGCAGATCCCATCCTTCCACCTGAAGCTGGAGGGCTGTGGGAGCGAAAGCAGGTGCGCCCGCCCCGGGGAGGTCTGCTCATCGGCTTTTACCCTATGGGTACTGAAAGTGGACTCTGGGGACCGCTGGTTGTAAGTTGCTGAGCCCTGTTCTCCTGTCGCGCCATCAACGCCACGTCGTTTTCCTCCTGCTTCGTTTCCCTAGTGCCCGGCGGCGGTGAGCGTCCACCAGCGCAGTAGAGATCTGAGTTCCAACCCGCTCTAAGCGTCCAGAGCTGTGGCGTTAGCCAAGTCACCTCACCTTACCGGTTTTCCCCCATTCCTCCATAAACTATGCCTATGAGGAAACCGGTGACCTCAGGGGTGTCCCGCAGCTCTATCAGACTCTCCCAGCTGCTGAGACCCTAGCGGGAGGCACTCCAGTGGCAGGTGGTCGGTCGCAGAGGCTGAGAGGCAGAGGGCGCCCCAGCCCTGGCTGGTCCTGGCTGCTGTGACTTGCAGCCTTTGGGGGGAGTTTTCTGAAGGCACCTTCTGGAAAGGGTGACCCTGTCTTATGGACCTCCCGGATTCCATAAGGCAATTTCCTTCTTTAGTGAGGCTGAGATGATAATGTCAGCGATGGTATCAGAGCGCATTCCTGATTTAGAAAAGCATCCCGAACAGCAGGTGCTGGGCCCGGAGAGAAGCCATAAAGGCAAACAGTGGGGTTAGCAGCTGGACTCTGCGGGATCAGCAGGTGGATACTGGGCGCTGATGATCGCTTTAGACATAGGTGCCGTCAGGAAAGAGAAACCCAAATGAAGCGCTCTTATCAGCGGTTCGATACTGGAGCAGTATTGGATTAGCCTTTCTCTTAACAGTTGCATTTCTCGTTGTAAACAGCAACCTTTAAAAATCCACTATCCACTTCACGGGATTTTTTTTTTCCTTCTTGGCGTGTTAAAAAAAAAACAAACTTCCTTGAATTTAATATTTAGATAGCTCAGAGTCTGGCTTATTAAAGTGAAAACTGGTGACCACAACTCTGAAGCCAAAGGTCGTGTCTCTGAAAAACCCTTGTGTCCTGTGACTGACAGACACTAGTCGGTGCCCCTCAGCTGACACTCTCTCCAGAGAGCTTATTTTCCAAAAGAAGTGTTTAGCAAGATCAATTGATTCAATTTTAAACAGAATCTAATAATAATAATAAAGCTCAGGGAAAAGTTTTAGTAACCAACTTTTTTTTTGTCTATGATTTTCTTCACAAAGTAACCCAGACTGGGAGATTACTCAATCTAGAACATTTTAAGAAGTGTCAAATTTAATTCTTGTTAACGATTTTCCCCTCCTTCTTTAGTCAATTTAAGCATATGTTTAAGTCAATGATGGATCAATTTGTTTTTCTAATATTATTGCAATTATTTAAATTCCTATGCAGTTTGCTTTACAGATTCAAACAATAAATGTATTCATATATAGATTGTAAATTTATACATCATAACATTTACCCTCTTGAGAGGCAAATGATTTTTAGAAAGTCATCCCATATTAATGATTTTTAGAACTCTCACCAAGATGCATAATAATTATTATGATCTAGTTTTAATCTTCAGCACTTCATAAGATCCATTGTGCCTATTTGTAGTCTTCTATACCCATCCCAACTCCAGGACATTGTGCATCCACTTTTCAGTTCCTATAGGCTTACTTTCTCTAAACATTTCAGACAAATAATATATTATATGTTCTTTGGTTTCTGGCTTCATTTGCAGTATGATTTGTGGAACATCTGTGATTTGGTAGGCATCAATAACTTATTCCTTTTTAACTGCTGCATAATTTCTCATTGCGTGGGCATACCATATTTTGTCCATTTTCCAGTTGTTGTGCATCTGGACACGTTGTGGTTTGATTGAGACCAGCCCCCTATTCCTTCACCTCCAATTTCTTTCCTTCCTTCTTCCCATGATTCCCTCTCAATTTCAGGTGTCCATTTTTCAAACCCATGAGTCAACAGTGCTACCTGCATGTGCCTGGCTGTGAGGCCATGTGTTGGAACATGGGTAGCCTCCGGGGACTCACATCTCTTAAGAAACTGACTTTCCTTCACCCATCATCAGTTGCCAATAGCTTCACCATTAGGGGTAGGATTTATGACCATCTCCCCATTCACTTTGGGTTTTGCCAGGTTTAATCTTGGAGAGGTCTTGTGCATGCAGTCAGAGCTACTATGAGTTTATGCGCAACTATCCTGTTGTACCCAGAAGGCGCTGCTTCAATATAGTCATCTCTGCCTCTGGCTCTTACAGTCTTTCCAACCCCTCTTTAGTGATTATCTCTGAGCCTCGAGAGGAGAAGATGTGACACAGATGTCCCATTAAGTACTCGGAACTCAACGTCTCTTTTTTTCTGTGTATGGATGAGTTGTGGGGGGTGGTGGCGGGGGGGGGGGCTAGTCACCTTCTACTGCACAAAGAAACTTATCTGATGAGGGGTGAGAGACAGACGCACTTAGCTATGGGAATACGCCTTTAGATGTTGCTTTAGTACTTGGTTCTTTTAGCAGAATAATAGCAGTAGGTTCTCTCCTAGGGCCTGTGACCTACCCAGCTTCAGGTTCTTGGCCCCATTTATGGTGGTAGGAATGCTTTTAATTATATATATATATATATATATATATATATATATATATATATATAGTGTGTGTGTGTGTGTGTCTGTGTGTGTGTCTGTGTCCAAGTGTGCAGTTAGCATGCACCTGAAGGCTAGAGGACAACTTGGGGAAGTAAGTTTATGTCTTCTACCATTTGGGTTCTAGGACCAAACTCCCATCTGCCGCCTTGGTGACAAATGCTTTTACCCCCTGAGCCATCTTTTTGGCTCTGTGTTGTTGTCAATTTGGGCTATTATGAACTCCAGTGTTAAGAACATTCACATGTAAGCCTTTGTAAGCTTATGTTTTCATTTCTTTTGGGTAGATATTAAACTAAGAAATTACTTGCTTACATATTAAAATTATGACCGTCTTTTAAAGAACATAATAGAAGGAGTTTTAGTAAAAGTTGTATATGTATAAAGTGTAGAAAGTTCTAGGGGAGTAAGGTAGGTGTGTGTGTGTGTGTGTGTGTGTGTCTGTCTGTCTGTCTGTCTGTCTGTCTGTGTCGTTGTTAGGTTTTCTGTTGCTGCAACATGCACCATGATCAAAAAGCAAGTTGGGGAGGAAATGGCTTATTTGGCTTACATGTCCACATTGCTGTTCATCACTGAAGGAAGTCATGCAGGAACTCAAGCAGGGCAGGATCCTGGAGGCAGGAGCTGAAGCAGAGGCCATGGAGGGGAGCTGCTCACTGGCTTGCTTCCCATGGCTTACTTAGCCCACCTTCTTCTAGAACCCAGGACCACCAGCCTAGGGATGACACCACCCACCATGGCCTGGGCCCTCCCCCATGGATGAGTAAATGAGAAAATGCCTAACAGCTGGATCTCATGGAGGCATTTCCTCAACTGGGGCTCCTTCCTCTGATGACTCTAGCTTGTGTCACATTGACACACCAAACTACCTAGTACAGTGTGTGTGTGTGTGTGTGCGTGTGTGTGATAGATGACTGACAGACACAGACAGACAGACCGACACACACACACACACACACACACACACACACACACACACACACACACGAAAGCTTCCTTTCAAAGTTCAAGTACAGCAAACTACTCCTAAAAAATCACTACAACATTTTTTGCTAATATTTCTTGCTTAATGGTTTATTTTATGCAAATGAAAGCAAACCAAGCTTAATCAAGACTAAATCTGAATTTAAAATGAGAAGGAAATCCATTTGAAGTTTGTATTTCCAGATGTTGCTACCACTCAACTTTGTGTGGCTTGACTGTAGATTTGGTTGTTTCCCATGCCTTTAGTGTACAAGTTCAACCTAAGGGGAAGAAGAAGAAGAAGAAGAAGAAAAAAAGATTCCTTTCTGAATGTCAAATACAATTGATAAAGTCTACAATGCAAGAAGCTTCCTTAGCTAAAATGTCATGCAAATAATAATTAAGCATCTCCTAGTGCAGGTGGGGAAATCTAAGGCCCTCGATTCAGTAATTACATCTCTAAAAGTCACATATTATGGGTAAAATCAAGACTGAAGCCTTCCTTTCAAAACTTCTCCCATTGGTACACACTTTTCTAAATACTGTTGTTCTCACATATTTTCATGTACTTTGTATGTACCTCTTCTGTGCCATTGTGAATGGATGATATTTCACACAAAAAGTTCTAGGTCACACTCCTGTGTATACCTGCAAAACCAAAAGTGGTTATTATTTTTCTTCTTACTAGAAGTAGTAGTGAATTTGAGAAATGAAACAGAGTTTCTACTTTTTATTCAAATGAGAGCTTTTTTTTTTTTTCCACCTCTCAATGGCAAATGGCCATTCTGTGCATTTACCCAGGTAGGGTTCCTGCTGTGGACTTTACATAAATGATGATTTGTGTCCCTCAGTCACTCAGAATCTTAATAGAACAGTGCCCAGAAGCTGTTTGTTTTTGTTGTTGTTTTGTGTTGTTTTTGATCAGAAGGGGGTTCAGAGATGCTGAGAGGACAACGAAGTGGATTCAGGTTTGTGTCTGTTCTGGAGACAGCCATCTCACCTAGAAGCCTGGATTAATAAGAAACAGGATTTCTCAGGCAGGAAGGAGGGCCAGGGGGACAGAGATGCTTTAGAACAAGCAGTGTGGAGGCAGGACATTGTTGACACCGACACGCTGGAGCAGCAGCTGAAGTATCTGAGCACAGGACAGACAGACAGACAGACAGACAGACAGGAAGTCCTTCTAGGATCCTCCCCACACACTCCCCACTTCCTTATAAGACCTAACGTTTGCTCTGCTAATGAAAAGACACATCATCTCTGCCTGTCTGTCTGTCTGTCTGTCTGTCTG